CGTGTGTGTGTGTGTGTGTGTGTGTGTGTGTGTGTGTGTGTGTGTGTGTGCATGTACGTGTGCTTGTGTATGCACGTATGTATAAATTCGAATGTTTCCCGTTTTCTAATTTTACAATCCAAAAAGGCTGGGATCTGAAATTTTAGGAGGATATACCTATACTCAAAATGATTGAGTACACTTATTCAATTGTCCCATATTTTCTTGCGGATTGTGCTGTCTAAAGGAGCCGCAGATAAACCGGGAAGATTTACCGTCGAACAGCAAATGAAGTAAACTCGAAAGATGAGACGTACCGTGGATGTGGTTCGCTTCGATTCGAAAACCCTTTTGACCCCAAAAAACTGTGTTTACTCTCAAAAAACGACATGCTTATATAAATCATGATAAATCCCATCTTTATCTTTTCGATGATACTACAAAAATAGCAAGATCATTGCCCAAAAAGAGCACAAGGCTAATAAATCACAATTTGCATCAGTTGTACAATTCAGCTTCGCTGTTTCCGACTTCCGTTTGGAAACCAGTAAAGTCAAAATTTGTTTCTAACTGGCCGTTATTTTTTTTTTACGGTGAACCTCACATTCTTCTGAATCGGTTTGATGTGTATTTCTTCATTTCGTGCTTACACCTGTCGTTTGATCATACCTCGATTCAGCGGCAATCTCTCGTCTATGCACAACTCTCGAAAGTCAAGTTCAGCTTTGATACGGATGCGTGAAAGTTTTGGCAACAATTTTTCTAACTTGGGAACCAGACAAGATAGGAAGCTGAAATTTTGGGAGGGTGTTTCCTGTCCGCATGTGACTTTGAAAATTTAAATACAACTTCTACGTATGTATGTCCAGGTTTCACGTATAAACGCACGGACGTCCAGACAAGAAATGGCATCTTTCTAGCCCCACTAAATAGAACCGCGTAAAGTGCTTGGCTACACCGCCTACATGGTGCGCAACGCCGTTTGCTTTGTTGTGTTAACCAGATAAGTCGCCTCTTTTTCGCTCTGACCACTTTTGAAGTTCTGAGCAGTCTATGCTTTATGTGTTGATATGCATTTTCAGTTATTTTCTGGGCGACTCACCAACAGAACTTGATGCTCTTGCATTTGGTCATCTGTACACGATTTTGACAACCGAGCTGCCAAACATGGAGCTGACGAATTGTCTTCGGCGCTACGCAAATTTAACCGAATTCTGCCAGAGGATTGATAAGCAGTATTTCGCACCAAAATCCGATGAGAAATGATATTTCTGGAAGATTGAAATAACGGTGCTGCAAATTGTATGGTCACTCGTATATGATTTTGATGATGAACTGTCAAACATGTAGATGAGAGTTGTTTTAGCCGAACAACTTTTGCATCTTAATTCAGAAAGCGCCTAATTTCAGTATGGCGTAATTGAATGGAAATCTGAGCAACAGCTCATGGGTTTGTAACTTGCAGAAAATTCGGTTAGGTTTTGTTTATTGTTTTTTAATTGAATAAAGTATAAAAGAAAGCAGGCGTTCACATTCACAGTCTTGTCTCCTTCAAACTCATGCTTGTTTAGAATTACAGTTAATTTGAGCTCGATTTTATTCGTTGGCGAGGAATATGCTGCAAAAAAATGGACAAATCACTGTGTCAGTGCCAGAGAACAGAAAGTCAGGGAGCAGGAAATATACATATCTAAAGGTCATCGGGATTGCCTGGATATCGGCTTCTTTATAACAATGAAAATTTCTCTTATACCAGGAGTAACTTCCTCCTTCTTACTACATGCTGCTTGCATGCGCAATGGCTATACAGTCTCTATATTTCGATGTCCGCTTTCTTCTCAAGAAAACTGGACAGTAGTCAATTTCTTCCACTCAAAGAGTCTTACTTTTTGTCGTAGCTAAAGCGATATTCTACATGCCGTTCATTTGGTGGGGCCTATTATTCGTATGATCACGGATGCATGCAGCAAGCACTGTGCGTTTCTCACTGTTGCATCCAGTGCGGCCGCACCTGTCCCTTTACTTTTGTCACTGACCAGGTCATTCGTACCCGTATATCATTATTAGCTCGTTTTACATGCTCGAATCTGATAATCACAAAAAAACTGCTCATATTTATGTCTTATATTGAGATCGGCAGACAGACAATCCGAAACCGCTGGCTATCGCTAATGTGGCGAGATATGCTGTTGCAAGTGCAGCGTATGCTCCAGCGAATACATTCTTATCCACACATACTTCGACTGGAGCTGCAGACTGCCTCACTTCCGATTCTGAAAGCAATCACATAATCAGTTTTCTAGAAACAATCGTTCGAACAGTTTTCAAGCTATTCAGTGACGGACATTGCTGCTGAGTACTGGGTGCTCTATCATGTGATAGCTGATAGAAGGTTCCGCTGCGTAACTGCGAGAACTGGTCGGACGATAAGAAGCCATAAGAACCATTCGTTGAATGGGGACAGTCGCTCTCCACAAACTGGGGAAAAAAAGTGGGACGTGGTAATTTGTTTCAGCCATGTGAAAATGCTGCATTCGTTAGCAAAAGCATATAAGGAAATTACCCTGGAACTGGAAAGCACGCACTGGCC